TACATGCAAAACAAATGAGAACGAATATATGCTTATTCTCTAAATCGCTATGCATGAAAATAAGTCGAAACCAGCGACTTTAGCGCCCGACGAGACCTTAGACGACGTTATACGTTATGAAGTCAAAGAAATAGGGACACATGTGTATGTTTTTCTTTAAAGGTCTTCGATTTTTTTAAATGTAATTTATTTATATTTCTATCTGCAGTCTGGTTTGCGAAGTTAATTATGTCACCTTGGCCGGTATAGCGCAATATTTTCGGAAATTTTTTAAATTTCAAGTTCTTAAGCCTTTGGGCGTTACTACTAAGTTCTATAATGCCGAAATGGACGAAATCTATCTAGAAGCGCAGATACAAAATATCACCACTGGGCCATTTTGTTTAGAAAAAGTAGAATTAGATAGTTCGCAACAATATACCGTAACAGCTTTGAATACTTTGCCCAACGGGGAATCAGTGTTTACTTCGAAGAACATGTTACAACCTAAAAATAGTTGCCAGTTTCTCTATTGCATCAAGGTGAGGGCAATATTAAATATATATTGAATTATTCACAAAAAGAAAGGTAATTTTGCAGCCTAAGCCTGAGATAGCCAAGGATATTAATTTGCTTAGAATGGCTAATAATGTAGGTAAACTGGATATAGTGTGGCGTTCGAATTTAGGCGAAAAAGGACGCTTGCAAACAAGTCCTCTACAAAGATTGGTAAGAAAATGCGTAACGTTTCTCCTAATAAAACGGTCTAAAGTCTTCTTTTTATTTCTTTTTTACTCAAATAGCCTTTTGAATATAAGGATGTGCGCTTAGAAATTGTAGAAGCGTTGAATATCGTTAAAATTGGAGAGTCTTTTACATTCCTGTGCAGAATCACAAATACCACTGATCGCCCTATGGATTTAATAGTAAAGTTACCAACAATTTTGGATTTCAATTGTCCGTATACCGGGTCAGCGGAATTCTGCTTAGGTCCTCTGGACCCAACCCAACAGAGAGAATTTCCTTTGACAATATTTCCTACCAAATTGGGTTTGATTAAAGTTTCGCCCTTGATATTGATTAATACCCTTAAAAGGAGCAGTATACCATTGCCAAGGTGGTAGACGTGTTTGTAGTCGATGATGATTATTATGAAGATGAAACCTTTCAAATGAATAAATTTGTTAGATAGAGTGCCTCCAAACCACAACATGAAGATCAATCCCTACAATTGCAAGTGGTTTAGAGGGATTTCAATAATTCTCAAATAATAAAAAAACTTCCAAAATCTAAAATTTATGACAATTCAATCTTGTCGCAGAATATAGTGTGTGTGGTCTGCATCTCTCTCTCTGACCGTTTTTCCATATTGTATCAATAACATGCGAAAATACTGTTAACTGGCACTTTTTTTTTCTTCTGTTTCTTGTTGGATGGTACACAAGTTTCTAGAAAAGTTCTTTTCATCTCACAAAGATTTGAATTATCAAATTTTTCCCTCCACCATGTTTATCAAAAACATTTCGTAGCACTCATCAATAAAATAAAAGGATAACATTTGGCACAACATCTATTAGAGATTACTAAAAAAAAACCTACACACCAATATCGAAGTGCGACCTTATTCTTTGACTGATTTTTTTCATTTTCCACACAAATTTGCATGCAAGAACTTGCAATGTTTTTGCGGAATTTGAAGCCGATAGTTTAATTTCTGTGAGAAGGAGATTGCTTACCACAGACATTATGTAAAAAGAAAGATATAAGATATAGATAAGAACATATATATATATATATATATATGCAAGAAATATATAAGATATAGATAAGAACATATATATATATGCATACAGGGCCTCTAAAGATTACATCTGGGTGATTCAAACTTTTTGATTTTTTTCGCATTTAGGTGATAGGTATAAACAAATTTATTAATACCATTTTCACGTGATTCCTACCCAATAGTTTCTTTAAATATTTTCCTTGACGGAATTTGGTAAAACTGATGCATCCACAGATTGCGAGCCGTTATTAAGATTCGTTTCTGGCTTGCAGCTTATTGATGGCTCACTAGTTTCCGTTAACAACAAATTTGCATCTGTTGCTATAGGTTTTAAAAACTGCTGTTCTTGTTCTTGCTTCTGTTGTTGCGGACTTTTTACATAATTAATAGGAATTATACCTACATTTTGACCATCTGTGGTTGCTAAAGCCCAACCTGTGTTTAAAAGACCCAGGGTGTTTTGTATCTCTTTAGGTGCTATAGTCATGCGCTGGTAGAGGGTATAATTATCTTTTCTTTGGAACCAGTCTACTCATTCGTTTCTTGATGAAAGTCCCATGACCTTAAAGATGGCGATATGATGGAGAAACTTGACTTTTGCACATATACAACTGCAGATTCATTTCGAAAGTAGATGTTGTTCCTTTCCAACAACATTTACAATAGCGCAAAATCCTTTACTTACAATCCAAAGCAAATCTTGGCATAATATTTTGCACAAGTATTTACAAGTACCAGCTAAAGGGGCAAAAGCAACGTAGGAGCTTTAAAAAAGGGGTTGCTTGAAATGGCAAAAAAAGACAATAGAAAAGAAATGTTTTCTTGTTTATTGAATTACAAAGACTTATTGCATTTTTTTATTGAAGCGTAATGTACATAGGATAGAATTATATGTGAAATAGCACATCGGGCAAATGGCCTCGATGGCTTTGCTGACACATACACACTCTGTTATCCTTTGGCTTTTACCTGCAGCCCGAAATCCGCAACAACATTTGCCCATTAACGAAGCCGTCAAGATGAAAATCTGCTTTGTCGCTTAGAATTATTTCGCTTTGAAGTTAACTCAATATTGTGAATATATTTTGCTCAAACTTTGCGAAATGTGTCTGCCAAATTTTCATTATTTTTGAAATACTATTGAATAATGAAGTCGCGTTGCTCTTCCCTGTAATGCTCCATTTTCACTAGCCTGACAGTTGGAGAGCAGGTCAAAAAAAAAAAAAAAACAAAAAACAAAAAAATTATATTAAAAAGTTATATAACATAGCACTGGCAGCACTGGAGCTATTCTCATGAGTCATTTTTAATTTAAGTGCCTCTGTGACATGCGGTGTAACTGATGCACATTTGAACCTAAAAAAAAAAAATTAGAATAATTTCATCTACATGACTACAACTAAAAGCAAAATATTATGGAATGAAACACAAGTCAAGGAAGCATTAGAAAAGTGTATATATTTATGTGAATATGTGTGTTGGAACTTTATGTTTCCAGCAGTGACCTGGACGTAGTATTTCCTCAACTCTCTTTCTTGCCTAGTCCTACTACTATCTCTCTATCTGTCTCCTCTTTCTATCTCTATCTCTTTCCTTCCTTCCTTTCTTCTTGCTCGATCACTAGATGCTTCTTTCGTTCATTGGTTCATTTAGCTATAACTGATACCCATTAGCCGATAGTATAACATCAGTGACGTGTATAAAAATGAGTCATAAATTAGTCTTTAACTTTATCAATTAACCTTTTTTTTTTGGAGTTTTTATTTTTCTAAATAAAATTTTCGTTTTAATCTTTTTTCAATTTCAGTGAAATCACTTAACGCAAGCAAGCAAAGCAAAACATTCTAAAATCAAGGCATCACCTCAAACCGACCAACAACAAAGCACTAAATTTAAAAATGTATGCAGCACTTGAACAATTTATGGGCGCATTTGCAACAGCAATTAAATTAACTTGAAGTAACGAGAAAACATAAATTTCATTAAACAGAAAAATTGGAAGGAAACTAAGAGCCGTTGCATCACAAACGTCAATTTAAATACCCATTTCGAAATAAAAATAAAGCATAATAAATCCAGCTTGAAATTACCATCTCACGAGAACGAACCTTAATTGAGAAATTAATATAAATTTCTCGCATTCATTTTGTTTATCGTTTTTTGTTTTTTAATTTTTTTATTTAATTAATTAAATTGCAAATAATTGAAATAAAAAAACATTCAAAATTACGGCGTATCATCCACCGACACCTAAAGTCAAACAGAACCCGGCCAATATGGACAGTGGGTCTGGGCCGGGTTTTGACGATGAGCCACCGCCAGAGCCGCGGGACGGTTGGCTTCTGGTACGTATACACGTGCCAGAGCTAAATGTCTACAAATGCCTGCAATTCCCCTCAGATAAATTAGTATGGGATGTGAAACAGCAAGTGTTGGCCTCATTACCAAAGGTAAGTTTTAACTAAACATTTACGAACATGCGATAGTCTATAAAAAAAAAAAAAACCCCATTAAATTTTAATTAAGAAAAAACATATTTGTTTTTATATGCATTTCTTTTCCTAGTTACATTTTTTTTTTTTTTTTTCATTACTTTCATAACCACATTTTTTTTTTTTTTTTGTTTTCGTCTCTTTATACCCACCATCGCCTAAAAATAGCGTTATTATAACCTTTGGTACCTTTCATTTACTAAGCGTCCACAAATTCTTTTTATGTGCTCTAATTGTCAAAGGTTTTCCATGTGTTCGCCACGAAAGTGAATGCAAGGTTTAAAGACAACCATGACTAAAATAGTGTCTGAAAAAAGGAACCTCAAGAAATTCTGAGCAACATCACAAACTCATCGTGACAAGTGACAAGTCACATTTGCTTCGTATCTGGCTTGCAGAACCTTGCAAACCTGTTTTAATATAAAACTAAAATCGAAACACTTTCTTATAGTCATTCTTCCGGAATACTTAAAATGAAGCAAAGGCAAAACAGTTATAAGAAAAATTCTCACTGCCTTCATATTATGACTAGTGACCGAGCACGACACTTGGTATATGCCCTTAAAATATAATAATAAAAAAACTAAAGAAATTAGATAATAAAAAAAATCGCATGAGATTAAATTTACAATATCTGACTTTAGATTGTTGCGTACTCATGCTTTGCTCCAGTGTGAGCCTAGCTTTCTTTCCTTCTTTCATCCAATATCGATGAATGCCCAAAAGCAGGCAAGAGAGGCGTGGCCTTATTGCGCATATGCTTCCTTGATCAGTATGAGATTACAAGTCAGTTTAACTGAGTACGTTCAGTTCAGTTTTACTGTTTTCAATCCAGAGTTACAAACTTGGCATTTATACTGACATCAAATTAGAAAACGATAGATATCTGACAAGAGGTGTCCTTTAAACACAGCAAAAACTTGAATTTGTTGGTCTGTTATTTATCAGAAGCTGTTTACTCGGCTCATCTAAGTCCTCAGCTCATAAAAGTCAGAAAACCTTTAACTTAGATCTGATAGAAGTCATTTAAAACCGGTTAAGGGGCAGAGATGAGAACGCTTTCGATTGTTTGTACTCACACAGCCAAAGTTTGAAGTTTTAGTGTATTTTAATGGTGGGTATGAAAGAATCGCTTAACATCTTCACTCATTAATTTAATTATCTCAGAATTTCTTCCCGTTTGTAAAAATTACGTTTTGCATTTGCATTTATAAAAATTTCTCGCATAACCTGTCATATACTAATTAAAAATTCCTTTTTCATATTGGTTTTGATTCGATGCGATTTGCTTTGCTTTCCGTTAGACCTTCATATGTTCCCTGTTAATATTCATTGTTATTATTATCATTATTGATTTTGAATGACATTATTTTTGTTCGTGTTTCGTATCGACTGCCTTTGTAATTGCAAAATGACTTTACAGTGAACTTGTAATTTACTTTATTAGTAACGTATGTATTTATGCTTGTTAGGATACCCTCATTGCATTACACTAATTATTTACTATCATTTACTAACAAATTCAATCAATTTTCTTGTATTAGAAGCTTCGTTATCAAGCATTCCTGAAAAGTAAATCATCATCAATAGAATGAATGCTTTGAATTTCGTTAACAAATTGAATAAATTTTACACTTTTCTGCATTTACATGCATACAGCAATGACTTTAAAGCTTTAAATAGAAAACGTTGATGATATAATGTTTAATATGCATGTGTAACATGTATAAAGTATTCGCTTGCATTATAAACGACTTTAATGAATTTGATTAATTATTATAAACAATATTTTACTGCCACGGGTTGGGAAGTAGATTAAGATGCCTTTCTCCTTACCTAACGCGATATAAATGTGACCTAAAATTCCAACACTAATTGTTGGTTAAGTGTTATATTCCCTTTGCTGTTATGTATTAGTTATGGCATAATTGACGCCAGCAAAACAAACCATGATTCAGATAAGTTTAACAGTGACGTTAAAACTGGTAATGTCACGCTATTCACCCGACAGCTCTGTATGCTTCGACTTTCGATTTATTTAATCTAACTTAGCCGCTTAGCATTTACTCACTTTCCAGTTTTAGTTGGATGAAATTGAAAAGAAAATAATATCAAGAAATTGATCGGATCATTGAAAGTGTTTTGTATCATCATCAGGTAACATATTTTTCCATGTTTTACCCACAAGTGCAAGTTTACGTCAAGCGAACAAAACGTGTCTCGAAACTTCAGCTAACAAAAGGTTCCGCTTGATAGTGTTCTTCTAAGAGTGGAAACGATCTTTTTAATAAGGCATGTAAGTAATTCGATTGACACGAGTACTACGTAGGATAAGGCTTGTCTGGCAAGCATAGCTGGTGGGCTAGCATGAATGGTGCTTCTAAAGTCTTGTTGACTAGTTTTACGAAGTCACTTATTTCAATTCGTATCTCGCACATTTCTTCTTTTTTTTTGCTTTTGCTATGAATAAACTTAGTAGCATTGAAAAATTCTGGAAATTATTCATCAATCGACATTTAATTATTTCATAGACTCTAATTGCATTTGACGCGGTTCCTGAGCGTGTAACGACTTCACGTAGAAATTATGACTGTTTAAGTATCGTAACTGGTACTTAGTTACTCTTATCGCCGGAGTATAGTCACTGAAAACAAACGACTATTTTTCGTGTCATCTTTCTTTGGCATACAGACATAAAGTTGCACTTGTCGCACGTGACGTTTTTCGACAATTAGTCTACGAAACGCACTCACGTCTTAGCGAGACCTACAGCTAGGCGATTTGCACGCTTCATAGGGTACTTTGATATATACTTACTAAAGCGGCATTACCTTGTAGAATACAGTTCTAGTCAAGCCCTCTCTTAATGGAATAAGATGAAAGGTAACGCCTTCCAAGTAATTGCCATCGCAACAGTGTCCCAAATTCTTAAAGAATACTTTTTTTTTACATTTGTTGTACGTATTGTAGGTTGTTTTTCCTGGAATTTCTAAATCTCTAAATTTGTCTTTTTATACACTACACCGGTTGTGGTGCAAGTGCATGTAAAGTTAGTGCGGATGTAAGAAACACGCAGAAGGACTTGAGAAAGGCGCATCTCTTACTTTTATTGATCTTAACAGATTCTAAGTCAATCTAAGCTTGCCGCTCTGTCTGTACGTCCGTCATGTTTCTTTATATGCGGATCACAGGTCATAAGTTTTGAGATAATTTTTTAAAATTTGTTATGCTGGCATGTTTTGATCTACAGCCACCGAGCAGTATTGAAAATGGTTCGAATTGCACCATCTTTTCGACCATTCTCATTGTTTCGAAAAGACGTCATATGAATAACTGTAGGATGGTATAGGGTATTTTCTACGCCGTAGTCAACTTTATTGTATAATTATTAGTTTTCTTCTCTGCTCTTCTTCCTAGAAAATATCACTCACCATTTCTAAGTAATGCTTCAAATGCAAATGCTGCTGAAATGCCTTAAATTGTATGTTATCGTGGTTGCTTGAGAGGACCTAATGAAATCTTCTTAATCAAAAAAGACGATGTATATACATGCACACGCGCACATTGCCAGCTTTCGTTTAACGAATAAAGAACGTGAAAAATGTTCTTGATTTAATGATTAGTCAGAAGAAAATAAAAAAAAAACTCTTATTTAACAATTTGTTCTTTCAACTTGCCGCGATATAAAAATTAAATAAAAAAAAAAAAAAAATGGCAACAAATTTCTAATTTGTTCTTTTTGTAATTACTGTTTATAGTACTAATCTACACAAATTATGCGGTAAATTTATTATAGCGTATTGTTTAGCTATTCAGTACATTGAAGTAGTGTGTGGGTAAAAAAAAAAAAAAAAAAGAAAACTAAACAATAGCACTTCGTTCCGAATGCTATATAAAATATTTTTATCGCATTACCAGAAAATCTAACAATAGCCTTTCATTTGAACGAGTTACGCGTTTAGTGCAGGTTAACTTGATTATGTTTTTGTTATGCATTTTTTATTTATTTATTTTCTACTTTTTTTTGTATTACGTTTTCATCTTGAATTCAAACTTTTTAAATAACGTTAACGGAAGATATATATTAATTTTGCTATTTCTTCGGTAAACTCGAGAATTACTCAGGCATGCTAACCTCATAATCAATCATATTGGGTTCGCCATGCCGAGTTAAAAGATGTCGTTCGCGGACGTAGAGAATAGAAAGTTACTAAAATTCTCGTAATTGACTTCTTAATAGATGGCAAGCATGACTTATGTTATAAAAACTACATAATTTATACAAATAAACAACAACAACTTAAGAATTGAACGTAATAATAATTGACAAAGCTTCAATTGCATAATGCCAGTAAGTCTAAGGAAAAGAAAAGAAAAGTAAAGAAAAAAAAGAACGCAGTAGTTGCAATCATCAACTTTTGACTTTTTTACAAGCAGCATTAGTTTGCGGTGAAGCAGGAAACTTTGTAAGCTGACATATAGATGACATTCCTAACAGGAAAGATGTATTGCTTTTGGCAATGTCCGTAAATTTCAAAACGATTTAGTAAATAAATTAATCCAAACCGAAGACTTCTTCCTCTTCCGCCTTCTTTGAAAAATAATCAAAAATAAAAAAAAAAAAATATTGGAAACATCATGCCATGACAGAGAATCTCTCTAAAGGAGGATTAAACGAGAAGAAACTATATCAGTTTCTCTGAGTACGCTCGGAGGTGAGCTTCCTAGTGAAAAGAGACAGCATTTTAATGCATGATTTTACGAGGGGTTAATAATTTTCCATCTTCTGGACACCGAATCAGACGTGATTGGTTATGTATGTCTTCCATCTGGATAGAATATTTAGTTTATTATTATTTACTTCAGTACAAGAGATCTTAACTAAAGACTTGCAAGGCAGATAGCTTGTTCATTTTTAGAATACTTTCATCTTTCTGAAAAACATTCTAATAACCTTC